GGGGGCCTCCAGCCCTTCCCAGGGAGCCCTGGTGGCCACTCTGGGCACAACCAGGAAAACTTACTCTCCTCTACCCCAGACCCAGAGCCATTAAAGGGGTAACCCCTGGCCACAGTGCCTGTGCCAGCTCCAAGCCTGCCAGCCCAGAGCCAGCAGTGACTGCCCCTGACCTAGTGGCCCCAAAACATGAGCCAGCAAGCCACTGGCAGTCAGCCCCCCCATCGCTCCCCAGGAGCAGTCTGCCAGCTCCCAGGAGCCTGCCAGGACCTGGAGAAGGCAGGCACCTTCCTGGTCCAGGGCGGAGATCAGGGTGGACCTTACTCAGGTGGAGAGGGGGATGTCCCCAGCGTCCATGATCTCCGAACTAGACAGAGGAACGCGGCCATTTATGGCAGGATAGCTGCCAGCCTGGCCACCAAAGGCCAGGAGTGGGTTTGCATGAAAATCAAGGTGGTTCAGCGAGACCCCCAACCCTGAGCCCTAAGCTTCCCCTCCCCCTTCTGCCCCAGGGCATGGCAGGATAGCTGCCAGCCTGGCCACCAAAGGCCAGGAGTGGGTTTGCATGAAAATCAAGGTGGTTCAGCGAGACCCCCAACCCTGAGCCCTAAGCTTCCCCTCCCCCTTCTGCCCTTAGTTTCCCCCTTCCAGCTCCCTCCTCCCAGGTTCCCCCCTCCCCTCTCCCACCCTCTCTTCTCCCCTCTCCTGCCTCCTTTCCCCAGTCTCACCAGAGTTTCATTGCCCCCACCCACCCAATTTTGTTAAATAAAGAGAGTTTGTGTTCATGAAAATACATGTATTTTATTTGACATCAGGAAGGGGGGTTAGGGAGGGGTAAATGGAAGGATGTGAGGGAGGAATGAGGCACAAGCCCCTAGTGGGGCACACAAGGGAGACTGCTACTGCCTGCAGAACGTGCTGCCAGGCTCGCAGCAACACGTCCAGGAGAAGCACCAGAGTGCCCAGGGGCAGCACTGGCTCCATGCTGCAGAGTGCTGTGGTGACCTGAGTGAGGGGAACCAGAGCACGCAAAGAAAAAAATGCTTTGCTGTCCCTCAGTGAGGTAGGCAAGCAAGCAGGGAAACCTTAGTACCGGCTGTCCAAGGGGGGTCCCTTTAAGCACAGTTCTCAGATAGCCTCAGGCAGCAGCCACACAAGGTAACTCCTGAACTGATGCCCTGCCAGAACCGGTTCTGGCCAGCCTTAAATGCAATTCAGCGTCCTATCAGTGTGGATGCACTATTTCGAAATAGCAAAATGTTTTTTCAAAATACATTTTGTGTATAGATGCGTTATTTCAAAATAAGCTATTTCCAAATAACTATTTCGAAATAAAATATTTCAAAATAACGCTGTAGTGTAGACAAACTCTTAGAAAATGCAGACAGAGAATGTATCATGCTTAATTCTTATGTTCTGCAGTGGTAGCCACACATCAAGCCAACCTGTTTATTGTCTAAGAAGTTATATTGATCTATATCTCTATATTTATATATATTGGTTAGTCTTTTTTTTTTTTTTTTTTTTTTTGAGACTCTAAGGTGCCACAGGACCACTCATTGTCCAAGAAGTTAGCTTACTTATTGATATTTTCTTCTATTGCAGACAGCCATTGTCTGCAATTGATGGTAAAATGATGGCACTAAAAATAACGAGGGAAGGATTCAAAGGGAGCCTATTATTTTTATAGGATATGTACACAATGCAGGTCCTGAATATTACTTTTTTAAAATTGTCCTATATTACATTGTGTGTACTCATGGGGGAGGGAGGTATATGAGCTTCCAGCAGAAGCAAACAAAGAATTGCTGTAGCATCTAAAAAAGCCAGTTGCTGAGTCAGAAAAGAAATAGAAAGAAATAGAATCTGAGCCCCCCATCTGCATTTCATTGTCTTGTCAGCATAATTTTAAAATTATGACACTTAAGTATCATAGCCTGTTTTTTAAGGATTTTCTTTTCACCCTGACTGAAACCATTTGCCAACAAAAGAAGACCAGGAACAAAAATTGTTACGTGAAATGGAGACGTGCTCTCCACACTATTCTGCAGCATCCACTCAGTGGCATTATTGAGCTTCATTCTCAGGACCAGCCTGTGAATTGCACCCTGTAGCAATGGGCAGTGGGCATGTGCTGAGACTGGACATGGAATGACCCTCTAGTGAAGCCCAAAATGATCCTAGTGAGCAACTGCTAGCAGCTCACCTGTTTGCTCCCCAGCAAACCTCTCCTGTTTCCCCCAGTGATTTACCAGAGACTGGAGTAATTAGTTTGGCCAGCTGTGTTGTCACAGCAACCAGCGGGTGAACAAACAGTGTATCAAACAGTGGGAAGACTTAGTGAGCTCTCACTTGCCCGAGACCCCCACATCAGGTTTGCAGTTAGCACCCTTCTCCATTTAAAGCACTGGGGAATGCTGATGTCAGGGACTCGAACCCAGATGGCATCCGTTCGTTGTCTGACCGCAAAGAGACAGGCAACACCAGCAAGGTTTAATCATAAGCTCTTTATTGAAGAGTGCACACAACAATAGAGAGCGGCCCGTCTCCAAAGAGAACAAGCCCCGATTTTATTAACAGGTAGGCTTATATAGACAGTTCCGTCGTGTCATAGACTACTCGGCTAAGCAACCCACCCCTCTTTATCAGTTAGAAACTTCTAGTATCCATGCACACATGGCCAACTATACATCATGGCCTTAAGCAATTCATAAAGCATCAGCAACTTTCTTATCAGCCCAGAAGACAAGTACCAGGCAACAAGGAGACAGTTTGTAAAGACCAAAAGGAGAACATAAACAGGGAGTTTGGAACAAACAGGGGAAGAGCAGAAACAGGGAGTTTCCTTATCAGTTCTCAAAACAAACTGTTCCTCATCACAGCAGGTACAAGAATGCAGCTTTTTACTTATCTTACTTTTGCAACTTAAGCAAGCACGGCTCCAGTTCTGCCCAGGGACTACCCAAAAACCTTTGTTACGTCTGCTTTAGCATAACTGCACTAGGCCCAATTTTCTAGGGCCTAACACTGGGGTACGTTACCACGTCACGTGTATATTCAGAGCACTGCACAGACAAAGGTGTCAGTCTTCATGGAGCCCTGGGATAGTGCCATCATCACCCTCGTGTCACACTTGGAGAAGAGGGCTGAGCACTTCAGTGATGCACTGCCACTCAGTGAGTCAGAGCCGCTGATTTCCAACCCTGGGTAAAGCCAGGCAAGTACTGTTTGGCCCCAGTTAAAATGGTAGGTAATTGCCACCACAGTAATCCCTTAGTCATTTGGGTCAGTATGGGAGAGTGAGCGGAGCCATGGCTACTTCTTTACACACTCCTTTTTCCTCCCTCCCCCACACATTCCTTGTAGAGGAGAGACCCAACTGGGGCAGAGTGGTAAGAGGGGAGGGGGGGAAAGGAGGCCCTTTCCTTGACTAGCTGTTTTCCTTGAATGGAAGCAGGATCAAGCCACGAGAGAATACATTAAAAGCCACCGCACCTCTCAAAAGGTGGAGTTCCCCACTGGTAGATAAATAAGAAAAGTGAAAAAAGGGGTAGAGAGAAGGCTAGGGATGGCAAAGAGATCGAACAGGTGTAACTGAGGGCACAACTGGGCCCTCTGTACCATGGAATATGTAGCTATCCCTAAACCAGTTGGCACAGTGCTATGATATGATGATTTGTCCACAATTGTTATATGTATAATTTTAATCCCTGGTAGACTGAGAAGACAGCAGGAACAAAGTGGGCAGACATCTAGTCTGGAGAGCAGAGCATCCCTTCAGACACAAGGAAAACTTCAGGATGGGCGCAACAACAACCTTCTTGGACATGGGTGCACAAAAGGCTGCAGCAGCTAGTTGGACACACCTCTTGTTGCACAGTTTACCACTGAAAGGCCAGTGAAGGCTCATCTCTGTGCACAGCTTGATATTTTGCCTTCCCTGCAGGAAAACTAACTCCTATGAAAAGGGCAATCCCATTGCTGAGTACAACAAAGATACAAAGCACACAAATTGGGAGCTCAATTTACACAGATGTCACTGTTCCTTTTTTGACCATGGTACCAGACAAATTACCATTAGCAGCAAAACATAAGTGTTTTATATGTTGCCCCTTCTTTTGTAACCTCTTCAAAATCCTGGAACAAAACTTGAAACAGTTCATTTGGACATTTCTCCGAGGTTATCAGATTTCTGGTTACTTGCAGGTACAGTGTTGTGTCAGGGCCAGCTTTGTCCTTTAAGATCTGACATTATCCAGTGAAATACTCTGCCATTTCTGTTAATTAAAACAATCCACTGAAACTGGATACTGGAATTTTGTGAGACTGCTACACAGTGTGAACATTTACCATCGAGGTCATAAATGTATGTATACAATGTAAATATATGTAATGTAGCGTGAAATAGACCAAATATCTAAATTTAATTTAACTACCTGAAGTGAGTTGAAATAGCATGAATGTATTCACATTGTTCTTTACACTTTATACATTCTGCTTGATAGTCAAAGACTTGATCTTTGTCTCATTAAAGTCAATGAAGTTTGCTGTTGATTTTAGTGGAGGCAGAATCAGACATATTGATAGTGTATTATTATGAAGGTGAAAGATCATCGTTAGGATGCGCAAGCTAGAACTAAAAATCTGAAAACTAAAAATGTTAGAAATTTGCTCATGTCCATAATGTTTAGAAAGAAAGGTGTTATAAACTGTGAAAAAGTAATGTGTCTTGTTTCCACTTATCAGTTCTGGTTAAGAAATGTCTTGAGTAGGGAAAAATACATCCTCTTAGGAATAATGTTGATACAAAACACTTTTTAAAAACAAAATTGTTGACACCTCCATATATTTATGGTACTTTTATAATTTGGTACATTCTCATTTTGTTAATAAATGCATAATTGTTCTGCTGTACTGTGCTTTTAATATTTTTAAGATCAACATCTGTAAGCCAATTTCCACTTTCAACTTTTTAAAAAAAATAAATTAGACTTTTTAGAAGTGATGATAAGCATATTTTCTTTACAGTACTTTCTATATGTATTGATTATAACTTAATTTTTTACACAAATCCTATTTTTTCTTTATAAACTGAGTCTATTTTTAGATTTGGTTACATATTATATATAATTTTTGGCATAAAACTTTCATAATTCAGATTTGTACAGCTCCATGAACTGATGCAGCTTTCCCATGAATAACTTAACAGCTTACAAATCTAGTGTAGTGAAATAGAATGACTTTAGATCTGTCATCTGAAAATGATGTTTGTTAATTGCTTAGCTATGGCATAGATTGGAATAAACACAAATTCAAGATAAGGATCTGAATTTTTTCTCGGCCCACAGAGGGCAACTTTCATTGTCCAAAATAAATCTTTTTGCTTATCCTTTTTTTAAGAATAATCTTGTTCTTGCTTAAAGTTTGTTTCTCTTAACAGGAAGCACAACTGATACAATTTCACATGGTTCCTAGAGACTCCCATATTCCTACTGTAATTTAAATGAACATACAGGAAATGATCATGCAAGTACACATATGAGTGACTTCTTTTTGAGTAGTCCCATAAAAGAGAACGGTACTACTCACATTAGTAAATGTTTGCTGGATCAGTCCTATCTATGAAATTTATAGGTAGCACCATGAAATACTTGTAATACATAATGGAGCAAGAACAATGGTAATACACATTGTAATCATGATTGTTTGGAGTGAAATTATATTTCTGTTACCATTGCCTATATTTGGGCTTGTGCATCATTGGCAACATAAGGGATTCTGTGTGCCTGCGGCAAGATGTAAGGAAAGTAATGATCCACTCCAGAATTTCTTTATATCAAAATTTCATCAACAAATAACTGAGGATTTGTCCTGAGGTTGAGATATAATTAGCAGGAGGAGCAGACAGCCAAATAAGGTCTGATCCTGCAAGTTTGCTGAAGCCAAGAGGGATTTACACCTCATAGAAGATACTTAGGCTCTAACAGTGTAGTCCTCCAGTGTGTAGTTCTGCTCTTAAACAGGCATTTGGAGGGGAGGGGGTCCATGCTCAGTGCTGCTCCATTTAGGAAGCAAATATGTTCACTTTTCATGAAAGCTCATGGACCTAGTATTCACCCTTCTCCAACCAATCTGCATTCACTGGATGCTGAAAGGCTAGCTAGGTTCTTGCCATTCTGCACACCATCATTACCAGCAAACTTTCTGGAGGTCAATCTGTGGCCTCCAGTTTCTCCTGTAGAAGCTTGCTGATTTCCAGCTATAACACCTGTGCAAAATCATAACCATCCACATATTTGTGCCAGTGTAGGTGATTGGCCCAAAATTGGAATGTCTGGTGATGATGCCCAAGAAGATAAGAGACCCAGCTGCCACCGCTGTCAAGGTGGTAAGAATAGTAACTCATTTCTATCACTCCAGATGAGAATTAAACCAGCTCTCAAGCAGTAGAGCCAAGAGAGCATTTCATATAGTTACTTTGGAGATCACACCCATACTTTGGACCCAACTCAACTCCTCTTGAAGTCAATCGGCATCTTTCCATTGATTTTAATTTGAACTCTCTAACTGATTTCCAGCATAAGGTAATAGAAGATTAAAGAGCAAAAGAAAGAGTTAATTTATCCTCTAAATGTGCTTCATATATCCTTGATGTCATACACCTGTATTTAGTAACAGAAATGGGAACAGGAAAAAGAGGCCGGGACAAGCTGAAGATGAGTCATGGATAATTATTCCAAAACACAAGGATGACCTGGAGAGGTCAAAGTGAGGAAGAAATACAACTGAAAGGGCTCCCCAGGGCTCAATCATCCTTTATAACTTTACCATCCTGCATGATCTCAGATCACTGGGCTTGTCTGTTTTATTCAAGGCAGAGCAATACTTTATTTCCGGGGTAAAATATCTGAGTCACATCTTTGAGCAGACTAGGGTGTGGGTCTAAACAGCTTGTTGGTATTTTTTATGACCATATTTTAGTGCAGTGGCACTTGCTTTTGTAAATTTCAGAGCTGAAGATACACAACCCCACAATAGTGCCAGGGCAATATGTGCCGGATACTATCTTCTAATCAGTTTTCTCTTTCTGTGTTGGATATTAAATATCAGCACATTACCTACAGCGTTCGAGTATTGTCTTGCTGTAGAAATGGCTCATCTGCAAGCATGACAAAAATGATTAAGGGACAATTACCAGGACTTTGGTCGTGGATCCTAGGACACTTTGGGCAAGTACCTCAAAGAATTATATAATCCAGTCTGTCTCATAGGCAGCAATTCATTTAGCTAAATAATTTAGCTTTTTTTCTGGTTGCAGAATGCATACAATCACAATTTTGAAATTGCTTGGTCAAAATTGTTTACATATTTTAGATTCTTACTTTATAGTAAAAATTCTGACTTGATAATAAATAGAGGCCTGTGACTATTTGAATTGTGTTGATGAATTATTAGTGGGTAGATAAGTCACCTGACATGATTTCCATGGCCTCATTGGATGAATGCACAAATACCTCTAGTCTACATCTACACTGCAGGTCTACGTCTAGACTGGCATGATTTTCCGGAAATGCTTTTAACGGAGAAGTTTTCCGTTAAAAGCATTTTCGGAAAAGAGCATCTAGATTGGCATGGACGCTTTTCTGCAAAAGCACTTCTTGTGGAAAAGCGTCTGTGCCAATCTAGACGCACTTTTCTGCAAAAAAGCCCCGATCACCATTTTTGCGATCGGGGCTTTTTAGTGGAAAACAAATCTCAGCTGTCTACACTAGCCCTTTTGCGCAAAAGTTTTGCGCAAAAGGGACTTTTGCCCGAACGGGAGCAGCATAGTATTTCCTCAAAACGTACTGATTTCTTACAGTAGGAAGTCAGTGCTTTTGCGGAAATTCAAGAGCCAGTGTAGACAGCTGGCAAGTTTTTCCGGAAAAGCAGCTGATTTTCCGGAAAAACTGGCCAGTCTAGACACAGCCCAGGCTTCTTGCACAAGAACTATTTTGTGCAAGCATTCTTGTGCGAAAGGTCTTGTGCAAGAGCGCATTCACACTGCCATGTGCTTTTGTGCAAGAGCTGTGCTTTTGCGCAAGAGTGTTTATGGCAGTGTAGACACTCTCTTGAGCAAGAACGCTCTGATGGCCATTTTAGATTATACCAAACTGGGTGGGGTTGCAACTTCTTTGGAGGATAGGGACATAATTCAAAATGACCTTAGCAAGTTAGAGAAATGGTCAGAGGTAAACAGGATGAAGTTTAATAAAGAGAAATGCAAAGTGCTCCATTTAGGAAGGAACAATCAGTTCCATACATACAAGATGGGAAGCGACTGTCTAGGAAGGAGCATGGCGGAAAGGGATCTAGGGGTCATAGTGGACCACAAGTTGAATATGAGTCAACAGTGTGATGCTGTTGCAGAAAAAGCAAATATGATTCTAGGTTGTATCAAAAGGTGTGTTGTAAGCAAAACTCGTGAAGTCATTCTTCCGCTCTACTCTGCACTAGTTAGGCCTCAGCTGGAGTACTGTGTCCAGTTCTGGGCGCCACATTTCAAGAAAGATGTGGAGAAATTGGAAAGGGTACAAAGAAGAGCAACAAGAATGATTAAAGGTCTAGAGAACATGACCTATGAAGCCAGGCTTCCTGAACTGGGCTTGTTTAGTTTGGAAAAAAGAAGATTAAGGGGGGACATGATAGCGGTTTTCAAATATCTAAAAGGGTGTCACAAGGAGGAAGGAGAAAATTTGTTCCTCTTGGTTTCTGAGGACAGGACAAGGAGTAATGGGCTTAAAGTGCAGCAGGGGAGGTTTAGATTGGACATTAGGAAAAAATTCCTAACTGTCAGGGTGGTCAAATATTGGAATAAATTGCCAAGGGAAGTGGTGGAATCTCCCTCTCTGGAGATATTTAAGAACAGGTTAGATAGACATCTGTCAAGGATGGTGTAGACGGAGCTTGGTCCTACCTTGAGGGCAGGGGGCTGGACTCGATGACCTCTCAAGGTCCCTTCCAGTTCTATGATTCTATGTCCAGTGTGAATTCATTTAACACCATTCAGCAATCATGCCTATGTGCCTATTCAGGGGTATAATGGAGCATAAGATACAAGTTGAACATTTCTAATCCTGCACTTTCTGGTCTGGCAACATCTGTGGTCAAGCTGGATTTTAGTTAGCCAGATGTCCACTGATTATGGTTATGGCCAAGTTTCCTGTGGTTCCATAAAATTTATTTCCAGCCACCTGTCCTGGCTTTCCGTGTTCTGTGCTGTTATTTATCTCTAATGTACTTCTAAATATCTTCTAAGAACCCCTGAGCAGTGAAAGTGGTGGTAATGCTGCTAAACAATATTGACTTTCATGGTTGGGCAAATTCTCTGGTTTTACACCGGTCAGGTCCCGAGGGTGCTGGACTAGAGATGTTTAGCCTATATTTGTATAGAAGATAGCACCAAAAATAGAGCAACTTCTGCAGCTGACTACTCTCCATAGCATGCAGGCAGGAGGAGAGTGGGCATTAGCTAGAAGTACAGAAAGCCTTAGCTCCAATCCACCAACGATCTAGTCAGTACATCTTAGCCTGCGCATCAGGGGGAATCATCTACACTCAGTCCTATGTGTTTATATTATAGGAATGATACAGCTGCCTTTCACTACAGAGTAATTCCAATCTGGTACCAAGG